CCGCCGCGCCGCGCGGCGTCTTGGCCGGCGCGCGGGCCGCCGACGAGGGGCGCCGGCTGCCGCCGGCTGCGCCGCCGCGGCCGTCGTCACCGGGGTGGTCGGAATCCATTGGCGCCCCATGGCCGGCCCCGCCGCCGCACTCCTGCAGTGGGCTGGGAGCCCCCCGCCGCTGCCGCTCGCGCGGCGGCGCCCCCACGCCCGCCCCCACCGGCCCCGGCCCCTCTGCCCGCGGCCCGAAGCTCGCCGCCCGCTGCGCGTCGTCGCACGCAAAGGGGCTGCACGGCCGCGGCGCGCGGTGCTGCGGCCGCGGGCAGCCGCCAGAGCCCGCGGCGCCGGCGCTGCCGGGGCTGTCGGGGCGCTGCACGGCGTCTGCGCCGCGCGGGCTGCTGTGATGTGAGCTAGCCGTGCCTGCCACAACGCCTGGGAAGCCGCCGCGCGGTCCCAGGGGGCCGCGCGCGCCGCCGCCCGCCCTGGACGGCGAGCGCGAGGCGCCGCCGCCGCCGGGCGAGCTGGGCGTGCTCGGACGTGTCGCCAGGCGCTTGAGCGCGCGCCCGGCCGCGGCCGTGCCCTCGTCGGCCGCCGCCCAGGCCGGTGCCGGAGCGCCTTCTGCCTCTTCGCATTCCATGAGATCCTCCCCATCGCTGGACTCCGCCCGCGGGGGCGGCGGCGGTGACCGGCACCGCCGGCGCGGCGGCGCGCGCTCCTGCTGCTGCTGCTGCTGCGACGGCAGTGGCAGGGCCGGGGGCCGCTCGCCTGGCTGCTGCTGTTGCTCCTCCGGTTGCTCCTGCTGTTGGGGCTGCCGCTGCTGCTGCCACTCCTGCTGCTGCTGGTGCTGCTGCTGCTGCTGCTGCTGCTCCTGCTGCTGCTGCTCCTCTTGCTGCCCCGACCCGCCCTGCGCATGCGCCCGCTGCCCGCCAGCGCCGTCCAGGGCGGCCTGCTGCTGCTGCTGCTGCTGCTGCTGCTGCTCGTCCGCAGGCTGCCAGTCCATCGCCTCCGCGCCCCCAACGCCCTCCAGAGGCGCCGCCCCCAAGCTGCTGGCCCCGCGCCCCCGCGGCGCCCAGCCGTGCGCGGCCTGACCAAGCGAGGCGCTCCTGGTCGGGTGGCCGCTCAGGCAGGCGCTGCCCCAGGGCCCCGGCGCCGCGCCCATGCCGCCCGCGGCCCCCGCACCACCGCCGCCCTCGAGCGAGCAGCTCCTCGCGGCGGCGGCGGCCTCGGCCGCGGCGGCAAACGCGGTGGCGGGCCGCGGGTCCTCGCGGAGCGCGCTGCTGCCGCATTCACCCTGGCTGCTGCTGGTTGTGGCGCCCTGCTCCACCTGCTGATTGCCCCTGTCGCTGCGCCCGCACGCCGCGCGCTGCCCCTCAGTCTCAGGCTGCGGCGGCCCGTCCGGCCCCTGCTGATGCTGCAGCCACGCCTGCACCGCGCCGCCGTCCTGCGGGCCGCCGGCACGGCTCAGGCGCGCCGGCGTGCGCGGCTCGCCGGCCCCCGCCGCCGCCCCGCCGGCCACCTCCTCCTCCTCCTGCTGTCCCCCCTCGCGCTCCTGCGCGCCGCCCCCGCCGCCGCCGCAGCTTGACGCCTCCTCCTCCTCCCCCTCGCCCCGCACCGTGTCGAGCAGCCGCTGCCACTCCCGCTGCGCGGTGTTGGCGGCGGCGGTGACCTGCAGCAGCACCTGGGGGGAGGCGCCCTGGAGGTCCGCCACGATACTCTGGTGGCTGATGTGCTTGGCCTGAGGTACAGGGGGTAGTGTATGTGTATGGGTGTGTGTGTGCGTGCATGCGTGTGTGTGTGTGTGTGTGTGTGTAAGGGGGGGGGGGCGCCGGCGGTGAGGGCGGTGAGGGCGCAAAGGGGCAGGGTTTTGTGGGGCTTGATCCAAAGCCGCAGTTGCTGCTGATGGACGTCCATGAAATGGCACGCTTACCGCGCACGGCTCCATCAGCATGTTGGCAAAGACACCCGTGTGCACTGCCCAGTTGCATCAGAAGCGTCTTTGTTTCGCAGCACATCCACCTAACTACACCTACACCCGCACCGACACCACCACCCCTGCGCACACATGCAATCTGCTGTCCACCCATCCATGCGCATGCACTCACAAACCACACGCCACGGCAACCGCGCCTGTCTCCCAACCCCCACCTGGAAGTATGATGTGTCATCTAGGTCATCAGGCTGCGGTATGAACGTGGCCTTCTGCTTGGACAGGTTTGACCAGTCAATGCCCTGGGGTGTGAGTTTGCGCGTGTGCGTGCGTGCGCGTGTGTTTGCGCCCGCAACCGTGTCCGCAGGAACAGGAAAGGAGAGATGGAGAGATCGAGAGAGTGTGTGTCTGCGCGCGTAAGCACATTTGCGTTCAAGGCGTCAAAGCACAGTTGCGCCCAAGGAGTGAAACAACACAAGCGGGCGCAAATGCCGTCAGGCGATTAAAAGCACGGCGCGTTAGCAGCGCGTCGCCCGAGCGCGCCGCCGCGCGCCGGCGAAACGCTCGCAGGTTCCTGCGCGCGCGCGCGGCCCCCAGGTTTGTCTGTAGCTGATCCGCGCGCCGCCCCACCTCGAAGAAGGGGTGCAGCTTGACCTCGCCGGCGCCCCTGTGGCCGAGCCTCTTGTTGGGGTCCCTGGCCCAGGGGAGGGGGGGAGGAGGGCGGGACAGCAGGCAGGGGTGTCGGGCTAGGGCTGAAACGTGAGAGGGGCTGGTGGTGGGGGAAGGCCGGCTGAGCGCTCCGCCGGCGTGTGTGCGTGCATGGGCGTGGGCACGTGCCGATCGTGCTTTGCGTGCACCCGGCCGTTGACGGGCCCCTGGCCCCCCTCGCAAACGCGTGCGGTGCGCGACAGGGCCCGGCAGCCGCGGGCCGGGCCGCGTCGCGCCGCGCCGCGCCGCACCTGTTGAGCAGGCGCGTGATGAGGCTCTTGCACTCGGGGCTGATGGGGTCTTCCCCCGTTTCGGGGTCCGGCTCGGGCCAGTCCAGCGACCCCTCAATGATCTTCTCGAAGACCTTTTGGGGCGAGTCGGCGTTGAACGGCGGAACGCCTGGACGGGAGGGGACCGGGGAGGGGGAGGGG